GGCCACCACCAGGGCCACCACCGGGTCACCATGGGGCCACCACGGGGCCACCATCATGGCCACCACGGGGTCACCATGGGGCCACCACTGGGCCACCAAGGGGTCACCTGGGGCCACCACTGGGTCACCACAGGGCCACCACCACGGCCACCACCGTGGCCACCACTGCAGCCACCATGGGGTCACTACGGGGCCACCACCGGGGCCACCACCAGGTCACCACTGGGTCACCACCACGGCCACCACCAGGTCACCACGGCCACCACCACGGCCACCAAGGGGCCACCCTAGGTCACCGCAGGGCCACCTGGGGTCACCGCAGCTACCACAGGGCCACCATGGGGCCACCACCATGGCCACCACCGGGTCACCACCGCAGTCACCACTGCAGCCACCACCAGGTCACCACAGGGCCACCATGGGGCCACCACCGGGTCACCACCAGGATCACCGCGGCCACCACAGGGCCACCATTGCGGCTACCAAGGGGTCACTACGGGGTCACCAAAGGGTCACTGAGGCCACCAGGTCACGGTGGCCACCACCGGGCCACCACTGCCGGGCCACCACTGCGGCCACCTGGGGTCACCACTGTGGCCACCATGGAGTCACCACGGGGTCACCACCGGGGCCACCATGGAGTCACCACAGGGTCACCACCGGGGCCACCATGGGGCCACCACAGGGTCACCACTGTGGCCACCACTGGGTCACCATGGGGTCACCACCGCGGCCACCATGGAGTCACCACGGGGTCACCACCGGGGCCACCATGGGGCCACCACCACTGGGTCACCACTGCGGTCACCACAGGGTCACCTCAGGGCCACCACGGGGTCACCACTGCAGCCACCATTGGGCCACCACTGCGGCCACCATGAGGTCACCACTGGGCCACCACCGTAGGGCCACCACTGCAGCCACCACCGGGTCACTCCAGGGTCACCACCAGGTCACCACTGCGGCCACCACCATGGCTACCAAGGGGCCACCACTGGGTCACCGCAGGGCTACCACCACGGCCACCACCACCGGGTCAACACGAGGGTCACTACGGGATCACCACAGGGTCATCAGGGTGACCAGGACCACCAGGGTGACCACAAGGCCACCAGGGGTCACTGAGGCCACCAGAGCCACCACGGGGGTCACCACCGGGCCTCCAACCCCCGGTGTCCCCAATGTCCCCACGGTGTCCCTCAAGTGTCCTCAAGGTTCCCACAATGTCCCCAATGTCCCCAGTGTCCTTGATGTGCCCAATGTCCCCAGTGTCCTTGATACATTCAATGTCCCCACTGTCCCCAATGTCCCTGTGCCTGTTCTATGTCCCCAATGTCCCCAATGTCCCTGATACGGTCAATGTCCCCAATGTTCCCAAGTGTCCTCAATGTCCCAATGTTCCTCAATGTCCCCAATGTCCCTGTGCCTGTTCTATGTCCCCAATGTCCCAATGTCCTCCATGTCCCCAATGTCCCCAATGTCCCTGATATGTTCAATGTCCCCAATGTTCCCACGTGTGCTCAATGTCCCTGATATGTTCAATGTCCCTGATATGTTCAATGTCCCCAATGTCCGCAATGTCCCCAATGTCTCTGGTGCCCTCAATGTCCCCAATGTCCCTGTGCCGGTTCAATGTCCCCAATGTCCCCAATGTCTCTGATCCCCTCAATGTCCCCAATGTCCCTGACACCCTCAATGTCCTCAATGTCCCTGACACATTCAATGTCCCCAATGTTCCCCAATGTCCCCAATGTCTCTGCTTCCCTCAATGTCCCCAATGTCACCAATGTCCCTGTGCCTGTTCAATGTCCCCAATGTCGCCAATGTCCCTGTGCCTGTTCAATGTCCCCCACATCCCTGACACATTCAATGTCTCCAATGTCCCAATGTCATCAATGTCCCCAATGTCTCTGTTCCCCTCAATGTCCCCAATGTCCCCAATGTCCTCAGTGTCCGTGACACCCTCAATGACCCCAATGTCCCCAATGTCCCTGTGCCTGTTCAACGTCCCCAATGTCCCCAATGTCCATAATGACCCTGACACATTCAATGTCTCCAATGTCCCAATATCCTCAATGTGCCCAATGTCCCCAATGTCCCTGATGCCCTCAATGTCCCCAATGTCCCCAGTGTCCCCAAAGCCCCTGTGCCTGTTCAATGTCCTCAATGTCCCCAATGTGCCCAGTGTCCCTGTGCCTGCTCAATATCCCCAATGTCCCTGACACATTCAATGTCCCCAATGTCCCCAATGTCTCTGCTTCCCTCAATGGCCCCAATGTCCCCAATGTCCCCAATGTCTCTGTTTCCCTCAATGTCCCCAAAGCCCCTGTGCCTGTTCAATGTCCTCAATGTCCCCAACGTCCCTGACACCCTCAATGTCTCCAATGTCCCCAATGTCCCTGACATCCCCAGTGTCCCCAGTGTCCCCAGTGTCTCCAGTGTCCCCACTGTCCCCAATGTCCCTGACACCCTCAATGTCTCCAATGTCCCTGACACCTCAATGTCCTCAATGTCCCCAATGTCTCTGCTTCCCTCAATGTCCTTAATATCCCTGTGTGTGTTCAATGTCCCCACTGTCCCCAATGTCCCCAATATCCCCAATGTCCCCAGTGTCCCCAATGTCCCCACTGTCCCCAATGTCCCCAATGTCCCTGACACCTCAATGTCTCCAATGTCCCCAATGTCCTCAATGTCCTCAATGTTCCCAATGTTCCTGCTGCTCTCAATGTCCTTAATATCCCTGGGTGTGTTCAATGTCTCCAATGTCCTCAATATCCCTGACACCCTCAATGTCCCCAATGTCCCCAATGTCCCTGTGCCTGTTCAATGTCCCCAGTGTCCCCAATGTCCCCATTGTCCCCAATGTCCCTGACACCCCCAATGTCCCCAATGTCCCCAATGTCCTCAATGTCCCCAATGTCCCCAATGTCCCCAATGTCCCCAATGTCCCCAGATGCCCACCTTGATGCCCACCAGGGCTCCCTTGTCCCTGATGACCTGTGNGGGGTCACCTGGGGCCACCACTGGGTCACCACAGGGCCACCACCACGGCCACCACCGTGGCCACCACTGGGTCACCATGGGGTCACCACCGGGTCACCATGGGGTCACCACCGTGGCCACCACTGGGTCACCACCGTGGCCACCACTGGGCCACCAAGGGGTCACTATGGGGTCACCAAAGGGTCACTGAGGCCACCAGGTCACGGTGGCCACCACCGGGCCACCACTGCCGGGCCACCACTGTGGCCACCTGGGGTCACCACTGTGGCCACCACTGGGTCACCACGGGGTCACCACCGCGGCCACCTGGGGTCACCACTGTGGCCACCACTGGGTCACCACGGGGTCACCTCGAGGCCACCACGGGGTCACTGCTGCAGCCACCATTGGGCCACCACTGCGGCCACCATGGAGTCACCACGGGGCCACCACCATGGCCACCACCGGGTCACCACAGGGCCACCACCAGGGTCACCGCGGCCACCACAGGGCCACCATTGCGGCTACCAAGGGGTCACTACGGGGTCACCAAAGGGTCACTGAGGCCACCAGAGCCACCAAGGTCACCACAGGGTCACTGAGGCCACCAGGGCCACCAAGGCCACCCAGGGTCATCCCAGTGTCACCCCAGGGCCATCAAAGCCACCACAGGATCACCAAGCCCCCTAACGCCCTGTGTCCCCAATGTCCCCAAGGTCCTCCAGACCCCCCCAGTGTCCCCAGCGTGGCTGTCCTTGGCCTGGTGTCACCATGGCCATGTTGGCACCAACGTCCCCAAGGTGTCCTTGAAATGTCCCCAAACCCCCAATGTTCCCAAGGTGTCCCTAAGGTTCCCATGATGTCCCCAAGGTGTCCCCAAGGTTCCCACCAAGTCCCCAATGTCCCTGATGTCCCCAATGTCCCCAATGTTGCCACTGTCCCCAATGTCACCTTAATGTCCCCAATGTCTCTCCAATCCCCAGTGTCCCCGATATCCCTGATGTCCTCAACGCCCTCAATGTCCCCAATGTCCCAATGACCCTCATCTGTTCAATGTCCCCAATGTTTCCATGTGTCCCCAATGTCCCCAAAGCCCCTGTGGCTGCTCAATGTCCCCAATGTCCCTGACACATTCAATGTCTCCAATGTCCCAATGTCCCCAATGTCTCTGTTCCCCTCAATGTCCCCAACGTCCCCAGTGTCCTTGATGTCCCCAATGTCCCTGTGCCCGTTCAATGTCCTCAATGTTCCCAATGTCCCCAAAGTCCTCAATGTCCCTGACACCCTCAATGTCCTCAATGTCCCCAATGTCCCTGACACCTCAATGTCTCCAATGTCCCCAATGTCCTCAATGTCCCCAATGTCCTCAATGTCCCCAAAGTCCTCAATGTCCCTGACACCCTCAATGTCCTCAATGTCCCCAATATCCCTGACACCCTCAATGTCCCCAATGTCCCCAATGTCCATAATGACCCTGACACATTCAATGTCTCCAATGTCCCAATATCCTCAATGTGCCCAATGTCCCTGACGCCCTCAATGTGCCCAATGTCCCCAGTGTCCCCAAAGCCCCTGTGCCTGTTCAATGTCCTCAATGTGCCCAATGTCCCTGACGCCCTCAATGTGCCCAATGTCCCCAGTGTCCCCAAAGCCCCTGTGCCTGTTCAATGTCCTCAATGTCCCCAATGTCCCTGACACCCTCAATGTCTCCAATGTCCCCAATGTCCCTGACACCCCCAATGTCCCCAATGTCCCTGACACCCCCAATGTCCCCAATGTCCCTGACGCCCTCAATGTCCCCAATGTCCCCAAAGCCCCTGTGCCTGTTCAATGTCCTCAATGTCCCCAATGTCCCTGTGCCTGCTCAATGTCCCCAATGTCCCTGACACATTCAATGTCTCCAATGTCCCAATGTCCCCAATGTCTCTGCTTCCCTCAATGGCCCCAATGTCCTCAATGTCCCCAATGTCTCTGTTTCCCTCAATGTCCCCAATGTCCCTGTGTCTGGTCATTGTCCCCACTGTCCCCAATGTCCCCAATGTCCCCAAATGCCCACCTTGATGCCCACCAGGGCTCCCTTGTCCCTGATGACCTGTGGGAAGGGGCGCCCATCGTCAGCTTTCTGGTACATGGTCTCGTGGAACAGGATGACGCCGCCGATGCACGGCTCCACGCGTTTATCGGCCGTGAACAGCAGCTGCCGGTACCAGCGCCGGTTCTCCTCCGTGTTCTCCGCCCCCACCGAGCTCAGCCGCTTGGCGATGCTGCCTGAGGGACAGGAAACCAGTATAAACCAGTATAAACCAGTATAAACCAGTATGGACCAGTATGGACCAGTATGGACCAGTATAACCCAGTATGAACAGCGCCGGTTCTCCTCCGTGTTCTCCGCCCCCACCGAGCTCAGCCGCTTGGCGATGCTGCCTGAGAACGGGGAAACCAGTATAAACCAGTATAAACCAGTATGGACCAGTATGGACCAGTATGGACCAGTATAAACCAGTATAAACCAGTATAAACCAGTATAAACCAGTATAAACCAGTATGGACCAGTACAAACCAGTACAAACCAGTATAAACCAGTATAAACCAGTATAAACCAGTATAAACCAGTATGGACCGGTATAACCCAGTATGAACAGCGCCGGTTCTCCTCCGTGTTCTCCGCCCCCACCGAGCTCAGCCGCTTGGCGATGCTGCCTGAGGACGGGAAAAACCAGTATGGACCAGTATAAACCAGTATAAACCAGTATGGACCGGTATAACCCAGTATGAACAGCGCCGGTTCTCCTCCGTGTTCTCTGCCCCCACCGAGCTCAGCCGCTTGGCGATGCTGCCTGAGAACGGGGAAAACCAGTATGAACCNCCGGTTCTCCTCCGTGTTCTCCGCCCCCACCGAGCTCAGCCGCTTGGCGATGCTGCCTGAGGGAGGGGAAACCAGTATGAACCAGTATAAACCAGTATGGACCAGTATAAACCAGTATGGACCAGTATGGACCGGTATAACCCAGTATGAACAGCGCCGGTTCTCCTCCGTGTTCTCCGCCCCCACCGAGCTCAGCCGCTTGGCGATGCTGCCTGAGAACGGGAAAAACCAGTATGAACCAGTATAAACCAGTATGGACCAGTATAAACCAGTATAAACCAGTATAAACCAGTATAAACCAGTATGGACCAGTATGGACCAGTATAAACCAGTATAAAACAGTACGAACCAGTATGGACTGGTATAGACCGGTATAAACCGGTGTGAAACAGGATGCACTGCTATGGACCAGTATAGACCAGTATAAACTGGTATGGAACAGGATAAACCAATATAAACCAGTACAGACTGGTATAAACAGATGTGAACCGGTGTGAACCAGTGTGGACTGGTATAGACCAGTATAGGCCATTAAAAACCAGTATGAACTGGTATAAACCAGTATAAACTGGTATAAACCAGTATAAATCAGTATAAACCGATATGAACCAAACCAGTACAAATCGGTATAAACCAGTATAAACCAGTATAAACCAAACCGGTATAAACCGGTATAAACCAAACCAGTATAAACCGGTATAAACCAGTAAAAACCAAACCAGTATAAACCAGTACAAACCGATATAAACCAGTATGAACTAGCATAAGCCGAACCGGTATAAACCAAACCAGTATAAACCAAACCGGTATAAACCGGTATAAACCAAACCAGTATAAACCAAACCGGTATAAACCAAACCGGTATAAACCAAACCCATATAAACCAAACCGGTATAAACCAAACCGGTATAAACCAAACCGGTATAAACCAAACCGGTATAAACCAAACCGGTATAAACCNACCAGTATGGACCAGTATAAACCAGTATGGACCAGTATGGACCAGCATGGACTGGTATAAACCAGCATGGACCAGTATAAACCAGCATGGACCGGTATGATCCAGTATAAAACAGTGTGAACCAGTGTGGACCAGTACTGACTGCCATAAATTGGTATAAACCGGTGTGAACCAGTATAAACCAGTATAGACCAGTATGAACCGGTATGGACCGGTATGGACTTTTATGGACTGGTATAGACCAGTATAAACTGCTATGAACCAGTATGGACTGGTATGAATCAATATAAACCAGTATGAACTGGTATAAACCAGTGTGGAACAGTATGGACCAGTATAAACCGGTATAAACCAGTATAAAACAGTATAAACCAGTATGGACCAGTATGAACCAGTGTAGACCGGTATAAACCGGTAAAAAACAGTATGGATCAATATGGACCAGTATAGACCAGTATGAACCGGTATAAATCAGTATAAACCGGTATGGACCAGTATGAACCGGTATAAACTGGTATAGACTGGTATAAACCGGTGTGAACCGGAATGAACCAGTGTGGACCAGTATAGACCGTTATAAACCAGTATGAACCAGTATGAACCAGTGCAGACCAGTATAAACCAGTATGAACCAGTATAAACCAGTATGAACCAGTGTAGACCAGTATAAACCGGTATAAACCAGTATGGATCAATATGGACCGGTATAGACCAGTATGAACCGGTGTGAACCGGTATGAACCAGTACAAATCAGTATTAATCAGTACAAACCAGTTTCAACCAGCATGAACCAGTATGAATCGGTATAAACCGATATAGACAGGTACAAACCAGTATAAACCAGTATAAATCAATATTAACCGGTATAAACCAAACCAGTATAAACCAGTATAAACCAAACCAGTATAAACCGTTATAAACCAAACCAGTATAAACCGACATAAACCGCTATAAACCAAACCAGTATAAACCGATATAAACCGGTATAAACCAAACCAGTATAAACCAAACCGGTACAAACCAGTATAAACTGATATAAACCGTTATAAACCAAACCAGTATAAACCACTACAAACCGGTATTAATCAATCCAGTATAAACCAGTACAAACCAGTATGAACCAATCCAGTATAAATGGGTATAAACCGGTAAAACCAAACCAGTATAAACCAGTACAAACCGGTATAAACCAACCTGGTATAAGCCGGTATAAACCAGTATAAACCAGTATAAACCGGTATAAACCAATCCAGTATAAACCAATATAAACTGGTATAAACCGGTATAAACCAAACCGGTATAAACCAAACCAGTACAAACCAGTATTAAACAGTATAAACCAAACCGGTATAAACCAAACCGGTATAAACCGGTATAAACCAAACCGGTACAAACCGGTATAAACCAAACCGATATAAACCAAACCAGTATAAACCAGTATTAAACGGTATAAACCAAACCGGTATAAACCGGTATAAACCAAACCGATATAAACCAAACCAGTATAAACTGGTATAAACCAAACCGGTATAAACCAAACCGGTATAAACCAGTATTAAACGGTATAAACCAAACCGGTATAAACCAAACCGGTATAAACCGGTAT